ACGCCCACAAACCGACCTCCGAGACCAGTAAGTGGCCACTCCCCGTCCGTTTCTTGATCGTCTACTAACTGATTGTATAGGATATCCACAATCTGAACGAACGAGTAGGTGATGGGAGCGCGTTGGCGCGCTGGTAATAACTTGGGCTTGGCTAACGGAATCGCAGATTCCATTCAAATCCAAAGAATCGACGATGCTGGTTCCGACCCCCTCCGGGGCCCTTACGGTTGCCTTCCATGTGCTCTGTTTGCGCTGCCTTCGGGCCAAAGCCCGTGGGATCCAGTCCCACGACTGCGTCTGGTCCTCGACCAGTTCGAAGTGTGGGTACTGCACCGCGCAGCACTCGCCTTGCGTCCCGGTAGGTTTTCTTCTGGGGTTCGGTGTTTGGTTTGGTTGGCCGTTGCTGACTTTGGTGGAAGCTGCCCTGGTTCCTCGGGGAAGAGTTTGCGGCCCTCCTGGCCGCCGAAGAGGCCACCCCCCTCATCCTCGCCGAAGTCGTCGCCGCCGCCACCGAGGCCAATCGGGTGGCCCTCCTGGCCGCCCAGAGCGTGCCCAAGTTCCGCTCTGAGGCGGAGCGTGACCTCTACGAGGAGGCACGCGCCACTCGGGCTGCCCTCGAGTTGGGGCTGGCCGTGAGTATCCCCCCTTCCCCTTGTGACTCGGTATGGTTTTGATGCTGACTCTGGGCAGCAAATTCGGTCGTCGCTGCGCCGTCTTCGGACGGAACAGGAGAGCGTTCCTGCTCTCTTGGGGGAGTTGGTGGCTGCTGTGGGCAAACTGCCCACCGCTGCCGCTCCCGCGGTTGCTCCGACTCGGGGTGATGGAAGGAGGGAGGGGGAGGATGGGGAAGTTGGGGCGGCCTATGGGGCCTAGGTGGGGGAAGACCTTGTGTCGGAGGGGACTCGGGCCTGGCCCTTCGCGTGGGGTCACTTCGACCCTTCGTCTCTCATGGTGGTAGCCGCTTGTTGCGACGCCGGTGAGACGTTTGGGAAGGGTGGCTCTTGCAAGGGTTACGGTGGTGAGTGCGCCCTGGCTCGGAGGGTATATTTAGTTTAGAGTCGCCGACAGCAATGACTCTGTTTCTTCCGCTTTGTCTTTCCCTCCGTGATCGTAGTTTTGTTCCTTTCCCGTCTCCCCTGCCGTAACAACTCCTAGTAGTTCGTGAGGTGGACCTGGTAAGTCTGGGTATTCCGTATGAAACTCTCTGAGTTTCTGGGGAGAGTTCATGAAGTTTGACGCTGGGTACCACTCCGGGTCCGGATCGTATCCGACCCAACTAACCCGGTATTGTAGTTGCTTCCGGTGGACCCTTACGCCGAGGATCTTTTCCACTTCCCATTCCTCTACGCCGTCTATCACTTCGCTGCTAGGCTCAGGCGGATCCTGACCAGGTAGGGGATTGTTTGGATCCTTCATAAGTACGTCTGGTGAGAACACATCGTGTATTTGAGAACCGCTAGGTAGTTCCAATCGAAATGCGTGCCCAATCCGTTCCACCACCGTATATGGTCCGACCCATTGTTGGCCCAGCTTGCGGCTAGGACGAGAGTTTTTCAAATTTTTGGTCGATAGGTACACTCTATCTCCTACGTCCCAGTCGATGGCCCTGCGGCGTCGATTCGCATGCTTAGACATTTCCTCTTGTGCCTTTGCCATGTTTTCCTTTGCGTGGACCCATGCGGTATGCATTCGGTCTGCCACCGCCTTGGCTTCCTCTCGGTTTAGGGTCTCCCGGGGGTTGGTGCTTTTCAGAGTGTTCCAATCCCAACTCGTACGCGGATTGGTTCCGTACTTGAGTCGGTAGGGGGTCATGCCAATGGATGCGTGGGGGAGTGTCATTTGCACGCAGTCCATTATTGGGATGAGCTCGCTCCAGTTATCCTGATAATAGGATACGAAGGGCCTCAGTCTCTGATCGATGTATCGGTTCATGATTTCCGTCTGCCCGTCGGTCTGCTTATGATAGGCCGTTGACAGCTTAACCTTAACGCCGATAATTCAACAGAACTCTTGCCAAAAGGATGATACGAATTGGGGTCCGTGGTCGCTTACAATCGACTCCGGAGTGTGTCCGAATCGGTATATCCATTCGATGAACAATTGCGCCATCTGGCGGGCAGTTATGGTCTTGTAGCAAGGTATTGTCACTGAACTCTTTCCGAGTCGGTCCATAAACACTAAGATGCTATCGTATCCATGCTTGTCCCTTGGGAACTCCTTGAAGTCCATGGTGAGGTGTTGCATAGGGTACTCGGGTACGGGTAGTGGGTGTAGAAATCCTTGTTGCTTAGTGACATTGGTGTGAGAAAGCCGGCATTTCACGCAGTTTCGTACATACCGCAAACAGTCCGCTTCCATCCCGACCCAATGATACTTTGGGGCGAGCAATTGGTAGGTTTTCCTGCCACTTGGGTGTGCTGACGACACTTGATCGTGCGCTTCCCGGATCAGTTTCGTACATAGGTCAGTGTGGCGATTCACACATAGGCGGCCTTTGTATAGGAGGAGCTGGTCGTTCATCGCGAATCCGTCCGGTAGGGGTTGTTTCGCGCGAGTCTCAGTGAACGACTTCCGATTGTCCGCACATAGCGCTTCTATTAAATTGAAGGGCACCTGGGGCTTGGCGGTGTCCATTGAATTAATGGATGCTATGTAGCTCTCGGCGAGTTCGGTGCTGATTCGGGGGTGTAGGCGGCTTGGACCTAACAATACCCTCGCCCTACTATCAAGTTTGACTTTCTGCTGCGTTACCAGGTCTTGGTCTCTTCGGCTCAGAATATCAGCCTTCTGATTATTCTTGCCTGCGGTGTACGTGATGCAGAAATTGAAGTCGGAGAGTAGCTCCATCCACCGAACCTGTTTCGCTGTGAGAATCTTGGTAGACATGAAATATTCCAACGAACGGTGATCAGTGTAGACGTCAACTCGGTGGCGTACCGAAGCCAGCTTGGGCCTCCATTTTTCAAAGGCTTTCACGATTGCGAATAGTTCCTTGTCGTGGATCTCCCAGTTGATCTCATGTCCGGATAGGACGTGACTGTAGAAGCTTACTGGGTACCATCGCTTGTCAGGGTGTTCTTGAGACAGGACACCAGCTACCACTCCATCAGAGGAGTCGGTCTCCAGCTTCGTAGGCAATTCGGGGTTGAAGTGGTGAAGTGCCTGTACCGCTAAAAGTTGTTGTCGCAATTCCTCGAACGCATCCTCACATTCGTCTGTCCACCGAAACGGCTCCGAGGGACTAGTGATGGTGGTGAGGGGCTTTGCTATTTTGCCAAAATTACGAATGAATTGTCTATAGAAGCCACAGAATCCCAGGTAGGACTTCACACCCGTAACAGTGGTCGGTCGGATCCAGTTACGAAGGGGTTCGATTTTGTCAGGATCCGCTTCGACACCGGAGGTAGTGAGAACATAACCCAAGTATTTTGTCCTGGTGACGTTGAACTCGCATTTGTTCAAATCGGCTTGGAGTCCAGCTTCGCGAAGATGCTGTAGGACCTTATGCACATGCTCTATGTGTTTCGTAGGGTCCTCTAAATAGATTAGGATGTCGTCTAAGTACGCGGTACAGAAGTCGTCTAAGTATTGCATCAGGACGTCATTCATATACCGCTGATAGGTTGCGGGACCATTCGTCAGTCCAAATGGCAGCACTTTGCACTTATAGGATCCATAGCGAGTCCGAAAGGTCGTGTACTCTTCCGAGTCGGGGTGCATCCGTATACGATGGAAGGCTTGTCTGATATCTAGCTTCGTGAAGATTTTTGCTTTCGACACTCGTCCTAGTAGTTCATCGATACGCGGGATGGGGTAGGGATCGTTCCGGGTGAGACCATTTAACTTCCGGTAATCGATGCAAAATCTTAATTTGCCATCCGCTTTCTTTACGAATAGGATAGGGGATGCAAAGGGGCTGTTGCTGTTGACGATGAATCCCTTTTCCAGGTTTTCCAGCAGGTATTGCTTGGTAGCCTTAAGCTCTTCGGTGCCCTGTCGATATAACGGGGAGAAAGCATTTGGTAAAGGGGCTTCGAGCTGTATCTTGTGGTCGTATATGCGGGGGGGGGGGATTCGATCCGATTCCAACTTCGAAAAGACATCGGTGTACCTCCGGTGCATATGCGGAAGCTTCTGCTGGATGAGGCGGAGCGTTTCTTCGTCCTCTACCAACTCCTTTTCATGAATGATCTGATCGATTTCGTAGATGCTAGTTTGAAAAAACTCGGAGTCGTTTCGCATCATCTCGTGGTGGAAAGCATTTGCACTGATTTCGCATATATGCATGGGCGTAAACCTATGTATTAGGGTTTTCTGCGGTGGGGGAGAAACCTCCTGGTTTCGTGGTGGGTTCGATGTCGTATCGGTGATCTCTTCATAGTCAGAAGTTATCACTTTCATTTCCATTGAACGTCCGCCTGCGCGGCGTCTGTCTTCGCGGTGGATTGCGAAATCCCGGCGATTCGCATCCGACTGGTATGCAGGATGTTTAATGGACGTTTCGCGTGAGTGGTAGGGCAAGGTGATCTCCTTGCTCCAGCTAGGAGTCGGCGGGTACTCCTTTGGCCATACTAACCGGCTCTTTGCAGAGTCGAGTAGTATTCGGAAGCGGCTGAAAAGCTTCTTCCCAATTATCACATCTTGTGCTCCGAGGTCCAGGAGTACAAAGGGGCAGTTATATATTCGGCGTCCTTCGACTGTTAAGTGTAACCGAATATACTCTGATACGTGGCCTTGGATTTTGCGCTGAAATCCACGTATGGGTACAGAGTAGGGTAGTTTCCGTATAGGGCTCTGAAGCGCTTTCGACAGTCGTATTGCGAAAGGCTTGTTAATGACGAGGTAGCCGTTTGCTCCTGTGTCTGCTAGGGACTTTGTTTGCACACCGAGTCCATTCATACTCAGGGTCGTGTCGACTAAGAACTGGGTGCCTCCCAGGAGTTCTCGTAAGTCTAGTCCTCGCAGGTCACATTTGCGTAGACCTAGGAAGGAGCCTTCTCCTAGGCCTCGTCGTTTTCCTCGAGGGACGCATCCGATTGAAGTTCCATGGCGTCTTCCCATTGTTCTGCTGCCTCGGGGTCGTTACGGTCCATTTCCTTGATAGTAGCGTTAAGGGGGCATTTGTCCTGGAAATGGCCGGGCTTGCCACACTTGAAACAGTTTCCTGAGGGCACAGGGACTGCGGTTCTCGGACGTTCCGGTATGGCTGGCTTGGGGAGGAACGCGGTTCGGGTGAACAGAGTGGATGTGGCTCGAGTCGGCTTCGACGCTGATGACGTCTTTGCCGTATCCGTGGTACGTGTGGACGTCCTTGCGAGAGCGGGTAGCGGATTCAATTCGTTGTTCCAGCGCCGTTCCTGGTCGAAGGCGGTAAGTTCTCGTACCATGGTCTGGTATTCTCCCTTCCATTGGTTTTTAAATTCCTTCGGAAGGATCAGTCGAGAGTCAATTTCTTCAGTTTTGGTCTTGTTCTTGTGCTCGATTATGTCCTTCATTGATATAGCAAAGACTTGAGCTCCTCTTTGCTTCATGAGCATTCGAAATGGTGCTGCGCCAATCATTGCTATGGTGCAAGGTTTTGGTTTTTCCACTTTCGGAGCAGGTTCTGGAGGAGGCATTTCTTTGGCTTTCTTCTTTGGCCTTTGTCTTTCGCTTTTAGATATAGGCTCTGTTTCGAGGGCTCGATCTGGTATAGAATGGTTGCAATAATCTCCAGTGAAGAGGACTTGATTATTGATCATATCGAGAACAACTCCATGTTGCTTCATCCAAGCTTTCCCGAGAATGATGGAATGTTTTCCCATCGAAGTGATGAATAATGGACATAGGCTCTCCACATGCTCTCCCACTTGTAGTCGAGGATATATAGCATGTGTGATAGCAGGGGCAGCCTCTCCATTGAATCCTTCAACTTGTTTTGGCTGCACTGCCTCTAGTGATGACTTGTCTAGAGGCTATTCGTTTTCCGAATCGATGATAGACTCAGCTGTAGATACCTCATTCACTTGAGCTTTGAGCTTCTGGGGACAGTCTCGAGCTCGATGTCCATTTTGTCGGCATATGAAGCATTTCCCAAGTTTCATGAGCATTTCTTTTGCTGGATCTTGATGCGGTGGTTGATACAGCTTCTGCGTCTTGTTTTGCATGTTCGAATCCATTGTAGGTTGAGGGATTGAAGTTCGAAGTGCCTGGCCCTGATTTTGAGTTTGGCCCATGTTGTTCGAAAATGACTTTGGCTTCCTTTTGTCTTCTTGTTCCTTGATCCGCTGAATGTTCTGGTCGATGAGCATGCATTTCTTTGCAAACTCGTGAAGTGTAGTAGCTCCAACTTCAGCCACTAAGGCTTTCTGCATCTGTTGGTTGACTTTGAAGCGCAAGTCATCCAGCAAAGCTTCTTCAGAGTAATCAAGCTCTGTTGTGAGCCTTTGGAACTCAGCCCAGAACACTGCAAAGGTGTTGTTTCTCTGATACAGCTTTCGATACTCAGTTTGAGCTGTGTGCCTTCGATCGGGATCACGAAGACTTTTTCCAAAAGTTCGAGAATTTCTTCTGCTGTCTGCAATTTGTTTGTAAAGTTTGGTCGAAGCCTTGGATTGACATGTCGAACTGCCAGTCCTCCCAGTCGACTCTGAATGTAGCTCATTTGTAAAGTCTGTGTTGGAAAATGATCAATATTGGCTTCGAGCTTGAGGCAAATTTTCACAACCCAGTCTTCAAATGCTGGCTCTATCCCATCTGTGAGGATTGGAGGGTCTGGAATCCGAGCTGACAGTCGACTGTGAGAGTGGTGTCCTGGTTCATTCTTCAGAGCTTGTTGGGTTTGCTTTTCAAGAAATTTCTGAATTGTTTGTTGCTTGTAACGCTGACTTCTAAACGATAGAAGACACAGAGGTTCTCTTGCGTAAAGGTTTACTTATCAGAGGAGGCAGGGGATCAGACACAAAGGCTTCAAGTAACACGTTACTAGTATATAACAAATACTGTATTGAGTTGAGCACGAAGCTCCTATCTTGTAAGGATGCCTCCGTACCTAGATACTCGAAGAACCTGTCTCAGAACTGTTACGGTCACTACAAACATGGAATCCGACTCGGTGGGGTTTCGAACCAGTAGAGGATCATATAGCGAGTTACACTATAGTGGGGGACGGTAAGTGTATAGGGTTCAGGGCCGATGTAGACCTGTTGCGGTGGAAGGTTCAGGGCTAGGGTTGGGATAACCGAGTCGGGCCCGTTTCGGGAGTTAAGGAAACAGACTCAACGGGGTTCCCCCTTCATCTTTTTTGTATCCTTTATAGTAGACCTATAGGATAGCATCCGTTTAGCCTCCGACTCGCACTCTCATATGCTATTACTGTGAGCTGGGTGCCCTGTGTCCTTACAGTAATTATGGTGAGATTTGGTTGATCCTCATGCTCAATTGTCTCATTTTCTCCTTAACTTTCTTGCTGCTAGGGGCGCAGCGCTATCCGCGGCCCGCAGCTGAAAAACTAGCCAAAACAGGTTACAACGGACCCGTTCCGTTGGGAATCTGACCAACCAACGGCCGTTTAAGGGGCCTAAAACGGACGCCAGTCCATTTAGGGTAGGCGATAACGAACGGCAGTTAGTGCTGTTGAACGGGATAACGAGAAAAATATCGACCACGCTGGGTAGAGGCAAGGCAGTTTAGCTAGGCAATTGGGAATGGGCTATAGCAATTGCTTGTATCAACAGTAGCGTACTCCGATTTGCAGGAATACTACGCTCGAGTTGGTCATGTATAAATTGGCAAATTGCAGCATTTTGTACAGGAGTTAATACTTGGTTTTGTCCTCCATATGGCTTGTGCGTTGTAGATGTCAGCTTCGATATGTGTCATCATAGAGTTTCGTACTTAATGTCAAATTTTGTAGTGACCTAGTAGATTGTATGGTCTTGTGGAGGCTTTAAAAAGAACTGCACAGCTTCTGCAATGCGAGATTTATATTCAGATTCATGGGTTGGAGGCATATTGGTAGTATTGTTCATGAATTGGTAGTATTAAAGTGGTTTTCATAAGGTGACGTGGCATACCAGTGTTCGGCGGATACATATCCGGGTAGTATCCGTGAAGCTCACGGGTAGGGTATATACCCGGCGACGATCTGACGGGTAGGGTAGGGTATATATCCGGATACATGAGGCTGAATATTGTATATAAAAATAGAATAGCGTATATAAAAAAGAATGAAGCTTTTGATAATAGTAGTAAACCCCTTTCCGCGAGCCCCCTTTCCGTGAGACCCCCCCTTTCTGCGAGTCCCTATTCAGGTGCTTCATCGTCAGCATCATCGCCGTCGCTATCAGCCTCCCGTATTTTACCCCAATTCCGTAAGCAAAGTAAATATCTAATAGTTGGCGGTGATAACCTATTCCGCTTCTTTGTAATAATATCACTACCATTACTAAATACTCGTTCCGATGCTGCAGATGTTGCTGGAATAGCTAGATGATCACGAGCAATACGGGCAATAACTGGATATTGGTATTGCTTTGCGCACCAATATTTGAGAATATCAGTATGCTCACCGGGCCGTGGTTCAAGCATCCAGCGCCTCCATTCTGGCTCTTGAAAAGCCAAGCCTTCTGACGCAAATAGATCTTCGTCAGAATCAGGTTCTTGATCTATTGTAGCAGTAGCACTTATTGCTTCTGCAAGAGCTGTTTCGTGAGTAATTCGCTCCGTATCAAGGTGATACTCTCGCTTTTGGTACGTTCTACAAACGTCTTCGAACTGCGCTCTTGCTCGTAATCTTCGTGTATCGTCTATAGCATTTGGATATATCTTCTTAAATACTGTATGATTCATTCGTGGGTCGCAAATTGTAGCAACAGCTGAGTGCTTACATTGCCGATTCGTTGTAAGAGTATAATACTCATTAAGCTTTTGAAGCGCAGCTCCACAAGCTACTCCGATCGTAGAGCTTCTACCAAGCTCTTCTTGTAGTAATGTGACCTTATTTATCATCTTTAAGTAAAGAGGAATTGTAAAGTTGAGCGTTGGATATGAATCGCTTTGTAGCCGTCTTGACGGCTTTAAGAATACTAAGAATAATCGTTCAAGAGCTTCGATAATAGCCCAATCGTTGCTTGTTAACGCAATATCCTTCATACTGATATCAAGCTTCTGCGTAGAGCATACTGCAGTAATTGGTATTCGAAGCTTTATAGCTGTTTCAAGCATATAGTACGTTGAATTCCAGCGTATAGGCATATCAAGTGATAGCTGGCGTGGCTTCTGGCCTGCAGCTTGTATCTGCTTCTGTAAAGCATCCTTCCATGCTCTTCGGTTTCGAAAGACATAAATATGCCTTCGGAGCTTCTCAAGCGTAGCTGATACTTCAGTAGAAGAGTTATCAATACGCTGCGGAATCCGGGCAAGCCCTTGCTGACACCAGTACGCTTCTGTTTCTGTATCCGGGCTAGCTTTCAAGCTCTTTAGAGTAGCTTGAACTGCAAGATTGATAATATGAGCAATACACCGAACGTCCCCTTCCTTTACAGTAAACGTCCATGGCTGTTGAATAGTCGTCTGCTGCTTACTGGCTATTTTCTCATATTCTGAAAGCATCACAGTATTCGCTGAGGCATTATCCCGCGTACAAGTAAATATAGCACCTGTAATTTCGAAGCTATCTGTTACTGCAGCTAACTCTTGAGCGAGATATTCGCCGCTATGAATTGGCTCTTGAAGGTGGATTACATCAAGTAATACGCACCGGTGCTGCCACTTCTCATTAATCCAATGGCCTGTGACAGCAGCGTACTCTGTATAGTTCCGTGCAGTCCATGCATCTGTTGTAATAGATATCCGGCCGCCATAGGTAATATGAGCCTGGAGTTCTAATTGTAGCAATCCTCGGTGATATGAGAATTGCCGCTGTAGCTCTCGGTGTAGTGTTCGCGACGATATCGATAGAGTACTTGGGCTTAAGAACTGTACTAATTGATGGAACGAATAGCTCTCAATAAGTCGTAAGGAGAGGTTATTTGATACAACGAATGAGAGTAATAACTCTCGGTATTTCGCTCTACTATTTGATGCTTGAGCTTGAGCGGGCTGGACTTGCGGGTTCCGCGGCCGTGGCTCAAAAAATAACGATGCACTACTTGATGGGCTTGACGGCGTAATTGTATGACCTTTCATTGTATATGCTACTGTTGGATGCTTCTGCGTATAGTGCTTCCAAAGATTACCGGTTGAAGTCTGACTTAATAGCTGCGGAGTAGGTGAATATCCGCAGCCTGGTTGTAAGCAAGTTACTTTGACTGTAGGTGGGTTACTATCAAGTATCAATCGCGAATATAATAGCTTCGTAAATAGTACCGACGACGTTGGTGGCAGCATTCGTCCTGGAGGCTGAAGCCGGAGCGGTGTAGGATTAATATCCTGTTGAATATGAATAGGGGGTGGCAGCGTTGGCAGACTTGGCTCATTATAAGTATCATAGCTATTATAGCCCTCAGGCTCCGTTGGTATATCTGATAACGACGAGTCGCTCATTCTGAGGATAATTATCACTTTATACAGCATCAATATAGATCTCACGGCGTTGGAAAAAAGAGGTCTTGGCTGCGCTTGGCTATTCTTGGCATGTATCCGGATATATACTCGAGAGTATCCGGATACGCCGGATACTCCTAAAATATCGCCGGGTAGGTATATACTCGAGGATATACCCGGATACCACGGGTATATTGGTATCCGTGCCGAACACTGT